TTTCTTTCTTTCTTTCTTTCTTTCTTTCTTTCTTTCTTTCTTTCTTTCTTTCTTTCTTTCTTTCTTGTCCAGTGGTGTCAAAATACTAATAAAGATGGCTGCCACAGATAGCAATTGCCTTGATGTAACAGTCTTGCTGGCTTCTAACGGTGGGATAAATATCACACTTGGCTAAGAAACAAAAATTTCAGGGTAGTCTTGGGTTGTATCCTGGGACAGCATATTTCTCAGCTACGATTGATGGGAGGAAACAACTGTGAAAATATCTGACTACTTGCAAAAAAAGGTACTGTAAATTGTAACATTTGGTTAAAAATAACACATATTTTAAATGGAATGAAGTAGAAGTAGAAAAATAATTAATTTATTTTGCTTTGAGTCTATTCCAGTCATGCCACATGTAGGAACACAAACAACTTCATTCTACAGTTCATACCCTGATCTTTTCTGTTTTTGGGGGGTTTAAAAAGTGTCTGAAATCCAGATTAGCAACCTGGAATATAAGTAGTATCCTTTCACAGAGGAATAGATTTAATGACTTAAAAATGAGTGTAGGTTTCACCTTTTAATTGTCAAGCACTCCTTACATTTTTTTTAAGTTCAGTGTGTTGGTGTAACATGCTAACTCCCTTTATAAAAAAAAGTTAGCATGTTGCACCAAAGCACTAATATTTCTCATCTGCTATTTGCAAAGCAAGAGGGATTGTGAAAAACTACCAGTGCATTTCATATTTTAACTAGAAATCCAGTATTTCTGCAGGATGACATGTAATGAGTTAATAAAGAATAGGCAAATGTGAAATGTGAAAATATTTTTAAAAGCATACAATGTATATAAAATGTAACCTGATATATTCAAATCAATGAATGGTGTTTATCTCAAATGTTCCGACCTTGCTTACCTTAACTAATAAATACAAGCTCACTCATGAATGAAGGTAAATCTACATTCCCAAGCTCACTCAGATACAAACCCTAATACAAATTTAGCAATCAGAATCATGTTTCCATACATCTGTAGGTCTATGTGCATTTGACTAAAACAAATTCTTCGGAAGTTGAAAACAGAGCTATAAATCCTAAAAGTAGTTCCCAGGTTTGTCAAATCCCAGACTGATAACAAAGTGCAAAATCTAAGACCACATTCTCTCTACCTCAGGCCAAACACAGACTCATTTATGAATGTAACCAAATGGTTTTCCCAGTTGCAATGTATGGCTTTGAAAGTTGGACCATAAGAAAGGGTGAACACCAAAGAACTGAGGCTTTTGAACTATGGTGCTGGAGAAGACTCCTGCAAGTCCCTTGGACTGCAAGGTGATCAAACTGGTCAGTCTTGGAGGAGATCAACCCTGACTGCTCTTTGGAAGGCCAGACCCTGAAGATAAAACTCAAATATTTTGGCCACCTAATGAGAAGGAAAGACTCACTAGAGAAGAGTCTAATGCTTGGAAAGTTTGAGGGGAAAAGAGAAGGGGATGACAGAGAATGAGGTGGCTGGATGCAGTCACCGAAACAGTAGGCATGAGCTTAAATGGACTCCAGAGGATGGTAGAGAACAGGAAGGCCTGGAGGAATGTTGTCCATGGGGTTGTGATGAGTTGGACATGACTTTGTGACTAACAACAACAACAACAACAGAATGGTCTCCCATAAAGGGCAGCATATTCTCCCATTTCGTAGACTACTACATAAAATTTTGCACTGTGTTGTCAATTCAGGGTCCTATGTTTCCTTCCTATGATGAAAGAAAATAAATTAATAATCAGTGATAGGGATACTTATCCTAAACTTAAAGAAGTATTCAAATCAGGTATAGACCCNATCTTTCCAAGCAACCTCCATGTCTCCAGTGTCTTCTTCCCCACTTGGAGCCGAACCCAGAAGGACTTTTCTTTCATCAATGGAAAGGTACCAAAAAAGGCAGATATATTTTGCCTCTCCTTACTAGCTCTTCAAACTGAGCTCCTCACCAGAAAGACCTAAAAAGAGATCTCTCTCACTGGCCCCATACAAGCGCAATACACGGACACACACAGTTACGCCCCCCCCCCCCCTTTCAGCGTGCAGAGAGAGACACTCTTTCCATGGGCAGAAGAACCCCGGACACGGCTGCCCAGCGGAGGAACAAGGAGTCAAGGCTCTGGAGGCAGGAGGGGGCGGAGCTGGCGCTGCTAAGGGGCGGATCCCGATAGGGAAGCAAAAGCCCCACCCCGTCTCTCCGCATTCTCGGCCTGGATCTCCGCTTCCCACCGCGTGTCCCGCTTCTTCCTTGGAGGATCGGCGCTGGATCTCTCGGGAGGGGGTCCCGGATCCCGCTCGGGGCAAGTGGGGCTGCTCTCCCTCCAGGCCGCCCCTCCTGCCAGGAGATCCTCCCCCCTCCAGGAGGGGGAGGGCAGCTGCGGATCCCGCTCTTCGGCTCACCGGCTTTTCCTCGGGGAGATCCGGCTCCATTGTCGCCTGCAGGGAGCGGATCCCTCCCTTCCCTCCAGGGTGACAAAGGGGGCTCCGTCCCTCGGATGGATCTGCCCCCTCCTCCCACGGCTTAGGCTTCCCGGGGGGGTATACGGGGGTGGAAATACGCGAAGAAGCTTTTGGGGAAGTTACTTTCAGAAGGTCTCTCGGTGGTCCGTTTGAACAGGAAGCCTCTGAACAGTGCAATTGCAAAAATGGAGTAAATGGGCCTGAAATGGTGTTTTGAGATATGCAATGTGCAATTAACCCAGACTGAGCTCATTGCAGTGGGGAGGCTGGGATGTGGCAGCTCCTCCTTGGTGGATCTTTTGGAAAGCACAAACTCTCAGGAAGTCTTGTGAGCAGCTGATAAAAGAAACTGATGGCCAGAAGGTTATCTTACATAATTGTAAGTATTTTACAAAATCTCTGTCCAAAGTAGGTCCCAGGATGCCTGGAATTCTTATGGCCTTGCAGCCTCCAAAAAAGAGCAGGAAA